CAATTGCATCAAAAAGTATAAAATACCCAGGAATAAACTTAACCAAGGAGGTGAAAAACTTCTACTCTGAAACTGTAAGACATTGACGAAAGAAATTGAAAAGGACACAAATTAATGGAAGAATATACCATGCTCATGGATTGGAAGAATTAATATGGTCAAAATGACCATATTACCCAAAGCAGTTTACAGATTAAAAGGAATTCCTATCAAAATACTAATGTCATTCTTTTCAGAATTAAAACAAATGGGACCACAAAAGACCCCAAATAGCCAAAGCAATCTTGAGAAAGAGGAACAAAGTTGGAGGTATCACCTTCCCTGATCTCAAACTATACTACAAAGTTGCAATAATCAAAACAGGATGGTACTGGCACAAAAACAGACACACAGGTCAATGGAGCAGAAGGGAGAGCCCAGAAATAAACTCTTGCTTATATGGTCAACTAATCTATGACAAAGGAGGTAAAAATATGCACTGGAGTAATGACAGGCTCTTCAACAAGAGGTATTGGAAAACCTGGACAGGTACATGCAAAAAAGAAAACGACCACTCTCCAACAACATATACAAAAATAAACTCAAAATGGGTTAAAGACTTAAATGTAAAGCTTGAAACCATAAAACTCCTAGAAGAAAATAGGAAGTAAACTATCTAACATCACTCTGAGTAATATCTTTTTGGACATGTCCCTTGAGCAATGGAAACAAACAAACAAATAAATGTGACTACATCAAACTAAAGAGCTAATACACGTCAAAGGAAACCTTCAACACAAAAAGGCAACCTTACTGACTGAGAGAATATATTAACAAATTAAATATATCTGATAAGGAGTTGATACCCAAAATATATAAGAAACTCATACAACTCAATAACAAAAAATTAATCTGATTGAAAAATGGGCCGAGGACATGAAAAAAACATTTCTCTAAAGAAGACATACAGATGGCCACCAGACATATGAAAAGATGCTCAACATTACTAACCATTAGGGAAATGCTTATCAAAACCACAATGAGATACCATCCCACACTAGTCAGAATGGCTATTATAAAAAAAGTCAACAAATAACATGTTGGTAAGGATGTGGAGAAAAAAGAATCCTTGTGTACTGTTGGTGGGACTGCAAACTGGTGTAGCCCTTGTGGAAAACAGTATGGAGATTCTTCAAAAACTATGACTCAGAAATTCCACTTCCTGGTATTTATCAAAATAAAATGAACACAATCATTTGAAAAGATATATGTACCCCTATGCTCATTGCAGCGTTGTTTACAATAGCCAAGATATGAAAGCAACCCAGGTGTCCAATGATAGATGAATGGATAAAGAAAATGTGAGACACACACACACACACACACACACACACACACACACACAGGAATATTATGCAGCAATGGAAAAGAATGAAATCTTTCCATTTGTGACAACATGGATGGACCTACAGGGTATTGTGTTAAGTAGAATAAGTCAGACAGAGAAAGACAAATACCATATGGTTTCACTTACATGTGGAATCTGGAAACAAACAAAACAAAAAGATATTCATGGAAACAGAGACCAAAGGGATGGTTACTAGAAGGGAGAGGTTGAGGGAGAGGTGAAAGGGGAAGGGGAATATAGACAACAATATTGTAATAAGTGTACATGGTGACAGATGGTTACCAGAATTAGTGGAGTGATCATATTTTAAGGTTTAAAAATGTTAAATCACTGTATTATACATCTGAAACTAATATAACCAATATAAGATTGTATACCAACTACACTTAAATAAAAATAAATTTTTGAAAAAGATGTCAGCTTTTCTCTAAGTAAGCAGCAGGTGGCAGTGTGGAAATAGAAAATTTTTTTAAAGCAGTTTTCAAATTGCCATTTTCATCTGTCAAAGAATTTCTAATCATTTTTTCCTTAAGCTTAATTTTTTCAAAGATTCATGTATTAGGCAAAAGTGATTTAAGAATTTATTACATAATTGATAATAAAGTATGCATTTTATAAAACAGAGGGTTTGGTTGAAAATTACACCTTCATCCCCACCCCCAGCTTCCCAGACTCTGGATTTCCTTGTGGAGTTAATAACATGCATTAAGGAACATAGATTTGAAGTCCTACTTTGAGGATGAAACAGGAAACTTTTTAATTATGCCAGTAATAATATCTGTGTTTCAATTCCGTTGTGCTTATTACATTTGTAAACACTGACTCTCAATGTAAATGCAATTTGTTAAACAATAGAGAAAGGCCATGCCCTTATGGTGTCAGACAACCGTTTATGAGATTTGAATCTTAAAATCATGAAGTATCTAAGTATTTCTCATTGGGTACACAGACAGCTCAACTATTAGGAAAGTTTGGTATTTCAAATGAATTTTTTATTTTAAAACATGGGCACAGAATATTCCCCTCTGTGTGTCATATAAATATTTCAGTGTATTCTGTTCTGGCTCACACTGGAGAGGACCTGAAATGGCAGGGGTCAGTTCATGATCAGGGAGGAATGTGAAAGAGTCACAGGTATTGAGAGCTAAGTGCTATCTCAGTGGTCATAACCTCGTCTTAAATTAAATATGCACTTAAGCCATTCTCTGGTACAGCAGTTCTCCCTTATCTGCAGTGGATATACTAGTATTCCACTGGGTGCCTGAATCCATGAATAAGTATCCAGCCCTATATAAGCCATGCTTTTTTTTTATACATCCATACTTATGATAAAGTTTAATTTATAAATTAGGCACAGTAAAAGATAACAATAACTAATACTAAAATAGAGCGATTATCACAATATTCTTTATGTGAATGGCGTTGGGGCCATTATTAAGAAAATAAGGGTTATTTGAACACAAGTACTGTGATACTGAGACAGTCAATCTGATAACCAAGAGGGTTACTGAGTGACTAACGCATGGATAGCATATACAGTGTGGATACGCTGGACAAAAGGTTAATTCACCTCCTGGACGGGACAAAGAGGGATGGCGAGAGATTTCATTATATGTTGCTCAGAATGGCACGCAGCTTAAAATTATGGATTGTTTATTTCTGGAATTTTCCTTTTAATGTTTGCAAACCACAATTGACTGAGGGTAACTAAAACCACGGAAAGGGAAACCATGGATAAGGGTGACTACTGTAATTGGCAAGAATGTTGGGCTTGGGGTCTTTGGATTCTGGCTCTACCACTTACTAACAATGAGACTATGGGTGGATTTCATCATTTCTCCTTTTAACATTTCTTAAGACTTTTTTTTATTGAAATAAAAAATACATACAGAAAAGTGTATATATCATGAGAGTATAGCCCAGTGAAATTTTCACAAGCTCAACACACCATGAAATGAGCACATTTATATCCTTCCATGTAAATGAGACTATTGGGCTAAATAACTTAATATCCTTTTATTTCTAACTAGAGGCCCAGTGCACAAATTCATACACAGGTGGGTCCCTCGGGGTGGCCTGAGGAGATCAGGCCCCAGCTCGAGCCCCCAGCCTCGCAGCCCTGCAGCCCCGCCTGGAACCCCGCCTGGCACCTCGCCTTGGCCTGGCGCCGCCCCTCACCTGCTCCACCATCCGGCCTGCAGGGTGATGGATCAAGGCCAGGCCCCCTGCCTGGCTCCCTCAGCGCCTGGGAGGGATCCCCACCGCTGCCACTGTTTGCCATCTGTGGGGCGATCGGTGGGGCGATTGGGTCCCTGCTCGCACCCGCCTTGGCCTGACGCCGCCCACTCACCTGCTCCACCATCCCGCCACTGTCCCACTCTTGTCGGGGCCCATCAGGGCTGGCAGCACCTCCACTGCTGCCCACTGCCAGCACTACATCACCAAGGTCCACCATGTTCCGCGCTGCCCCCTGGTGGTCAGCGCACATCATAGCGAGTGGTCAAACTCCGGGTTGAACTCCCGGTCAAACGACCGCCCGAGGGGACAATTTGCATATTAGGCTTTCATTGTATAGGGTATGCTAATCTCTGTAGTTGTAGGTACATTCCAGGTACAGTGCTGGTGGGAAGGAATTTCACTAGCACTTAATGCTATTCCATGAGAAGTTGCCCACCTGTACATAGAACAGATCCAGGTAATGGTCACTTTTGCCTGTCGGTCAACAGTGTGCTGCCTTCCCCAGATTCCAGGTTACACATGGAATGTAGGACAGTGGAACAGACAGACCCATCCCTGGATGGGAGGGTGCTTTTCCATTTGGCCAGAATATTCTCTAGGAAGAGAATAACGACTTCAACCCCACCTCTTCCCTCCACAGGGTTGCAATTGCTTGTATTCAATCAATCAACACATCCATCTGCATCATCAATTATATGACAGGTCTTGTGCTGGAAAGAAGCTCTGGATAGGAAAGGTGCCTGGGACATGCAGGAGCCAAAAATCCTCAGAATATGAGGGTTAAGACCAAGGTCGCAGGAGTCAGACTAACTGGGTTTTTACTCTGTTTCTATTCTGGTGGCGCTGCTGCTGCCACTGGCATCACTGAAGAATGAGCACAGTTTGGGCACTTCCTTGTCCCAGGCCTTGTGATCAGCATTACACCTGCGCTCTTATTTGTTCTCCCAGGAAACACTATGAGGTGGCCTCAATTTCAGATGAAGAAACTGAGGCACAAAGAGATCAAATAAGTTGCCTGAGATCAAAGAGCCAGCAGGTCATAGTGCTCAAATTTGAAGAAAGTCTCACTCAGAACCCCCCACTTAACTATGTGACCTCACCCCCATCCTGACACGTTAATTTCCTTATCAACAGAAATGAGGGTAACAATAGTATCTACCTCCCAGGGTTGCAGTAAGATGAAAATGAAAGGAGGCTGTTTATGTGAAGTACACAGTGTCCAGCACATTGTATACACACTGGAGATGCTTATTATTATTTTAGTGTTGTTATTTTATGATGCAAAGAATCATTTTACACTTAGGGTGGGATGGATAACATGATTGTGAAAAGGAGATGACTGTGACATAAGTGAAGGTTTCATTTCTTTTTTTAGGTCCTGTCTGCAGCCTCTGTGTCTCATCGTTTGGAGCAAGACCCGTGGCAATCTTCAGTGGCTTCATGGTGGCCGGAGGCCTAATGCTGAGCGGTTTTGCCCCTAACATCTACTTTCTGTTTTTTTCCTATGGCATTGTTGTAGGTAAGAAACCTAACCACTGTAACTTTCCTAAGCTCCAAGAGCTCATCATAACTTTACCAATGTCCGCTTCATTATTTAGTTAATATAGGAGGCGAAAATGTTCAGTAATAATTTACTATCCGTGGCCAGTTCACCAAAAATTGTTGCCTTGGTAAAATGTCCATCAGCGAATCAAAATATTTGAAATGACAAATGTGTTTTAACAGTGCACCTTATGGTTTCTTTCAAGGGGCAGGAAGGCATTTCATTTCCGTGCTTGTCTCTAAAGCACACAAATGGAATAAAGAGAGGGGGCAATAGGAGACATGTATGTGACTAACATCTGTCATTTCTCACTGACCTAGGGAGTGGTCCCTTTCATATTGGTCGGTTAAGCAGGGTTGTGTTCTAAACATCCTGCTGTGTCACACCATCTGTCACCACGACCCTGATCACAAAGTCAGAAGAGAAGTAAAGAGTAGATTGTAAAGCACATAATTTGTTTTTAAGATAAGGCATGATTGAAGAACACGGAGTGGTGGGGATGACTGATGGTGACCTTGATACAGGAGGGGAAAAGCAGAGTGCTCGGGGCTTGAGAGTTCTTTGGGGGATGAGGGATGCTTTGGTGATGTGCTCTACTAATTGTATTCAGTGTTTAACATCATCAGACTCAATATTTGTAGGAGCTGCTTGTAGGGAATTTGAAAAAGACTCCCGCTTTTTAAATTTTTTCTTAGTGTCTGGAAAAGCCTAATTTGTTGACTACCAATATTTCTCTCTTTTACTTGAGACTGTTTCCCCAATCCTATATAATAAAAGGCTAATATGCAAATTGACTGAACGGCTGAACGACCTGTCTCTATGATGCACACTACCACCAGGGGGCAGATGCTCAATGCAGGAGCTTCCCCCTGGTGGTCAGTACATCTCAGCCAGAAACCGGGCTCATGGCTGGCGAGCACAGGGGAGGTGGAGGGAGCCTCTCCCGCCTCCATGGCAGTTGGACATCACCCGAGGGCTCCCGGACTGCGAGAGGGTGCAGGCCGGGCTGAGGGACCTGCTCCCCCCCCCAAGTGCATGAATTTCATGCACTGGGCCTCTAGTAATAAATAATAGGAAAAATAGCAGCTAGCATTCACTGAGTACTTACTGTGTGCCAGGGTCTGCACTAAGTGAGGTATCTGATCTCATTTAAACTTCCCAAGAACTGTTTTATAAAAAAGGAAGGTGAAGCGCAAAGTGAAATGACCAACTAAAGCAACATAGCGAGAACACGTGGGGTAGGGTCCACTCAGTCTGACACCACAGCCTGACTCTTTTACATTTTTGTAATTGTTTTTAGTGCTTTTAGAACCCAAAGTTTATTTTAAATTTAACTACATGCCCTAATACTACTCAGATATTAATCTAATATCTGAGAGCACATAGTATATGTTTGATATTTTATCTCTATAAAGCTTAAGACAGTTTTGAACCTGTAGTTACAGATATATTGAGTAATCATTTTGCATTCTTGTCTGAAATAATAAAAATAAAAATGTAGATATCTATGTTTATTCATGATGGGATTATTCCTTTCAGAACACAGGACAAATTATTTCTTCCAAGACAAAATTTATTTTTGGATTGTTCTTTTTGCATAGGAAATTGAATCATTAAATTGAACCATTGGTATGATTTGGGTATCTTCCCTAAACTCTGGACTAATCATTTAAAATTTCACAGGGTTTTGCTCCTACTCATGGTTTCTAGAGAAAGCCTTTATGAGCACATATCCAAAGTTTTCACTGACCTAAAAACTAACAAAAAGTGACACATTTGCATTACCTATAGATACAAATGATTTTTTAAAAGAAAAAAATTAGCTGACATTGCCAAAGATTTATATATGTTTGATTGTGTTGGAAGAGTATCTAAGGATATATAGTAGTAGAAAGAAAAAGACAAAATTAACTAACTCCCATGATTAAATTTTAAAATTTCTGTAGCAACGGAGAGAGCTTTACCAGCTTGTGAAATTGATTTGGTTCATGTTGTTGGAACCTTTCAATAGCTAACCTGGTCCCCCTCCCCTATGAACACATGGTCTTCAATTCATAAGATATTGGTCTTGATTTACTCTTGTGGCGGCTGCTGGTGGTGCTGGTGGGGTCACAGAGCATCCACTTGGGTTTCCCCACTATGGTAACTCTTACTCCACTGGCCAAGAAACAGTATGTAGAGGGTTGTACTAACTAACATGTATGCCTGCGCCATTAAAAAGCAGCAACTGGGGAAATGACTGTTGGATGGATCCACGGACTCAGAGGGCCTGCTGTGAGCCAGACCTGGGCCATGATCCTACACATTACCTGCTTCCCCCAAGTGACCCCACTCTAAAGAGAGACCATGTAAATACCTCAGGTTCCTAATTAACAATGTCAGCTTGTACCCAGAGTCCAACAACACTCAAAACACACCCCCCTTATCCCGGTGTGTGATCACCTAAATGCCGCCATGGTTCTCTGTGGGTAAAGAGTCAGGGTACGGTTATCTACTTGTCATTGTGGTTGTTGCAATGGTTCTTCCTCCCGGCATAACCAGCCTCTCCTCTAGTTGATGGATTCTGGTTCAAAACGGGCTAAGGTCTGGAGAATATGTATGACTCTGATGTGGTGATAGATGCATGATTTGAAATCATGCAACTAGGAGGAAGTGGCCAGCTCATGGAGAGACCCTTGGGCTTCCGGCAAGGAGACATAGGTTCTGTGAGCTTGAGCAAGCACCTTTATTTTCACAAGTGACTGTCCCCTCACCGGAGGAGGCGGGCTTAGCAACCTACTTCCTATAGGTCTTGTGGGGACTCCATGAAGCCAAGCAAAAGATTTGAGTTGGGTTTCAATTTATAATTAAAAAAACTTACCCACTCTGGTAATTATTGGGGCCCTGTGAGCTACTCCTTGCTAGCAGATTATTAACAGTTATTCCATGGTTGTCTTGTTTGTGGTTTTATTTCATCAGTAGGCTCACAATATAGGGCTCATAGAATATTTGTGAGATACATAAATGAGATAATAATGAATAGTGACACATCCATTCTGTCACCATTTGAAGTAGAGTATCCAATTGAAAAGGCAGTGACAGGAAATTATTACCCAGTCTAAACTCATTCTCCTTTCTGTATTATGAGTTCCTTAGAAAAACACAGGCAAGATGCAGTCTAATGATAATATTCATGGAGAACCAGCTCTGTGTAGAATTGTATTCTAAGCATTTTCATTCATCAGGAATGAATGAAATGGGCTCTTAAGATAGACAGACTGGCATAGGGAAGGAGCAAGCATTAACAGGAAGGCTCTGGGTTCAGACCACGTGGGTTAACTGTATTAGATCCACTTGCCAGCTATGTGACTCCAGACAAGTTACTTATCTTGTGCTCTCATTTTTAAAAGTGAGCATAATAATAGCATCCAACCTATAGGGTTTTACAGATTGATGAGATAATGCAGTAAATAGTAGCTAGTATAAACATTATTATTAGTTTTGTGACTTTGGAAAATTATTTAATCTCTCTGGCTTCTATTTTTATTTTTTATAAAATGGGACTAATATGAGTACAGAGATATTGTGACTGCTCATGGGAGAATGTGTATAGAGAAGCACACAGAGGTATTTAATACACATGTGTTCCCTTCTTGAATTTCTTTCTGACCTCTTAGTTCAAGAGCACAGTAGCAATTTTTTCCTACTAAAGAAGCTCTATGGAATCAGAAATATTTATCTAACAGGTTAAAGAATATAGAAAAAATAAAGTAATATAGTATCATGTTTAATCATCCTATAAAAGATCAAAAGAATGCTAAAGTGTGTTAATTGGCATAATTCTGTTTTACCATTTAATCGATATTTAAAAAAATAACATCTTGAACATATGATGTTATCTTGTTCGGTTTTTGTGTAGCTAAAATAAATGGCAGCTTGCCAGTCTTTTAATTGGCTATAAACAATGCTGCCAAACCTGGTAATTAAGGCTCCTGTTTTCTTAGTAACTTTCCTAAATCAGAAAAAAAAAAAAAAGGTTAGCAGGAGACTGTGGATGGGGTGGGATGAGGGGGTACAGAAAATATGTCCTTAATGAATTTCTCAAGTGCCTTTCCAATAATTTCTCTTTGCTTTTCTGAAAAGTACAACTTCAAGTCAATTTCTTTTATTCTCTTTCTCCATAAGATATTTAGTTACCTGATTACTGTCTTCTTAATATTCTCTTACTGATTTTTGGAAAATTTAATTTTCTTTTCCTTCATTTTCTTGGTAACATCTGCATAGGGGAGGGGAAAACCACATTCATAGAAAATCTGATTCTCTTACTCTAGTTCTAGCTATTGAGATAAAGGTCATTCTCTACATATTTCCTTTAGCCATTAGTTTTATAAGCTGTTTTTTGTTTTTAATGGTTATATCATTAAAGATAGTCTTTTGTCTCTCATTGATGTTCAATTATAATAAGGAACTCTGATCTTCTAATTAGTCTCTGGCTATATCCACATAATGCCGTAATACTCAGGTAAAAGTGAAAAAAATGTACCAATATAATAGCTATTTTTAGTACCTTATTATATTCTAGGTACAGATATTAAATCTTTTTAAAAAAATATATTTTATTGATTTTTTACAGAGAGAGAGGGAGAGGTATAGAGAGTTAGAAACACTGATGAGAGAGAAATATCGACCAGCTGCCTCCTGCACACCTCCTACTGGGGATGTGCCCGCAACCAAGGTACATGCCCTTGACCGGAATCGAACCTGGGACCCTTCAGTCCGCAGGCCGATGCTCTATCCACTGAGCCAAACCGGTTTGGCGAGATATTAAATCTTTTGCATTTTTTATGTCTCTTAAGACTTTCAGTTATCTTGTGAGATTGTTTTAAAGATAAGGAAACTAAGAAAGTTCAAGTAAACTCTCAAATTCCCAAAGTCATACAGCCGATACATGATAGAGTTGGGATTTGAATCTATACCTTTGCTCTTAACAGTCAATG